AAGAAAAAACACATGCTGGATTTAAATGGAAGGCTGCAATTCCTTCATCCAGAGAGCCTGTCTATGTCATGAGAAACCTTTTAGTAGAAGAGTTCTTAGAAAGACTATAGGGGTAGCAATCTCTTGTTCAAGAGATAAAAATAAAGCAGCTAACCTTTACTAAGGTCTTACTAGGTATACGGTACTGTTGGAAGCATATATTAACTCCTTTAACCTTCACAAACCTCCTGTGAAGTAGGAAATATTATTATCCACATTTTACTAATAGGAAGTAAGTAATATACTTACTTCCTATTATATGGCCAGGAAATGGCAGAACTGGGATTCAAACCTAAGTGTCCAACTCCAGACCCAGCACCCAGCCATTTCATTAGTGAATGAGTGGATGTGTGAATGAGTGAATGAATGCAAAAGCTATGCTCGCAGTTTGTAACTTGTAGCTTTAAAGGCTGCCGGCAGAGCTTGTCTGTACCACAAAGGACAGCCTTATGAACAAACCATGCTTAACAAAGCTATGCCTCACACTTGTCCCTCTCCCCCACACACACCCCACTCTTAGGGAGAGCCTCCCTTTTAAAAGTGGCAAAGTTAGGCTGGGCACGGCGGCTCACGCCTGTAATCCTAGCACTTTGGGAGGCTATGGAGGGCAGATCATGAAGTCAGGAGATCAAGGCCAGCCTGGCCAACATGGAAAAACCTCATCTCTACTAAAAATACAAAATTAGCCAGGCATGGTGGTGCATGCCTGTAGTCCCAGCTACCTGGGAGGCTGAGGCAGGAGAATTGCTGGAACCCGGGAGGCAGAGGCTGCAGTGAGCCGCGATCATGCCACTGCACTCCAGCCTGGGTGACACAGCAAGATTTCATCTCAGAAAACATAAATAAATAAAAATAATAAATAATAAAATAAAAGTGGCAAACTTAAAAATAAGGTTGATGTATCATTTGTCTGACCCAGTCACACAGGGGCCATGTGTCAAGCCAGTGGTGCGGGGATTTGGCTATGGATGAAAACGTGTAAGGGACTACGGAGCTTCCTGTGGACCCCATGGTGCTTACTGCTAGAGGAGAGAGATCTGCTCTGGCCCCCTGGCAACATTCCAACCTGGGCACAAACTTTACCGGAAGTTTGAAGCTTCAGTTAGTGGCAGGGTCTCCACTTCCTGTTCCAAGATGTTAGGTGGGTCTTATACTTCAAGTGTCCGAGGCATTTAGACTTGAGTGATGTAATGCCCTTATACACTCAGCGACCACGCTGCCCAAGCCAGCAACAAGGACCCACATCTGATTTTAAAAAAAAAGGTCTACCTATAGGGACAAAGAGACAAACCATTCGAATTCGGGACTGTTCCCAGATGCACTATAGCACTAAGGACATGACAAATTGAACACGACATGCATATTTTATGAATGCATCTCTCCCTTCCTCTCTGCTTCTCACCCCTCTTCTCTTTTTATTTCTCAAGTCTTCACTATGGATGCAGAATAGGAGACATTTAGGTCTGTTAAATCTATCTAGACTCACTTACCTACAGCTCTGTTCACCTCTTGGATCCCAAACACAATTCTTTTCCTCATCCAGTTTCAGTCTGTTTTCCTATATTTGAGGAATGTGCTATTTTAAAAGTCCTGATTTTTACTTTATAGGAATGCTGAGAAACGGGCCCCAGGAAAGCAATACTGTAGCATTTTCCAAGCAGTCATCTGGGGGATTCATGACCTTCCAAAAATTTCTGGTGGTTTCTGACATTCAGCTTCTTCCCTTCCTCAAATTCTCCACAACCCCACATTCTGCCACATGTTTTTAGGCAAGTATCTGAGCTACTAAAGAATTTAAAAATGAGAAAAGGAAAGTGGCCAACAGTCACAATAAAATTTTTATTTTAAATTGGCAGCACTGTCCTTGGAGAGCTTACACAGGTACTCACAGCATATTTCAATCTGATCCATCATGCCCACCTAGATTCAGCTCTTGGGAATAGTCTAACAAAGACAACACTCTCAGTCAGTTTTAAATAGTCCATTGTGACAGAAAAGTACCTTGAAAATCAGTGAAGACTCATACATAGAACCAATTTCCCTTCTAGGGAAAATCAGCGAATATAAATTCATTAGGGTAGTTAATTCCTCCATGTAAATAGTGGCTGACATCACTGGTAATACCAGGAAAAATCAGCAGTATCTTTTAATGAAAAGATTATACATCTAAGGCCAAGAGAGTTGAGTTCTAATTGTGCTCCTGATAAAAAGGGAATAATAATACCCATTCCTTTTTCATGGAGATTTTTTTTTTTTTTTTTTTTT